CTGAGTCTCACAAATAGCAATGCCCAAAAAAGCAAGCCTCAGTACCCTTTGCCAAGGACCCAGGATTTGCCCGGTTGCCTTTGATTACAGAGGCAACTCCTATACAGTTAAGATTTCTGCTACTTGTAACCAAATGACCCCAAGGAGCATATCCAGGTCGCATCCTGTGTTAGACAGCTGCTCACAAGGCCCTGCTGAGCCATGCCAAGATGCATGGCCCTTCCTCATTCTCACAGTGAGCTGGACCAGGTTGCACACTGGATCCAACAGGCCCAGGGGAGTCTTTTATTGGTGGACTTGAGAGTTCGCATATAGAACTCCACTTGCTCTGTGCTGAAGGGCAGGAAGGTGAGCTTGTAAGGACTAGAAATAAAAGCTGGAAAAATGGGAGCTAAGATGATCACCTCTCAGAATCCCTTTTCCCCATCTTCCCTCCAGTCCTTCTTGTTCCTCCCGTTTTCTCAACCAGCTTTGGACATCTTGTTCCTATCTACCCCATCCTAGGTTTGTGTGACATTTCTATTCAAATTCTGTGAAGGTTCCATGCCCTCCAGATAAATCTCCCCATTTACCCGAGGTTAGTTTGGTAGGTTTCCCCTCCCAGCACACAAACACCGAGACACTAGTTCACAAGACACGAAATGGTCTGCTCATCAGTAGCATCCACCAGATCTCTGGAGGTGACTGCTCTACCCAGGACAGGAGAACGATTGCACGCCTCCGTGTGGCCATCTGTCCCTTCAAGGAAACACAGTTGCCAAGGTGGGTGGTGAGCACATTGTTAGAACACGTGGGTTGGACAAATCACACACTCAGAGAATAAAGCTGGAAGGAGCATTTGGAATTTTCAGCAGAGGGTTTAATAACATCTCATGCATTTCAACAGAGGAGTTAATAACGTCTAGCTAGGCATGATGGAGTCCTTAAGGCCAAGCAGCACATAGTCCCAGAGACAGGCCAGTTCAAAACCTCCTCTCCCAGTCCTCATCTTCCCAGTTACCAGATCGTCCCTTGCGGTAAAAGTACAACCCCCTGGGAGGCGACTATGAAATCCACGGCCTCCTCCCAGCAAATTCTTCCTTGGCATTTACCCCTCTATATATGATCCCATCAGCTGAACTGCAGAACAGACGAACTGTCCAGGAGATGTGACTCCAAACCAGGAGAGAAAATTGTAAGGAAAAGGTTTCTGTCTTTATTCAGTACTCACCAACTAGTTCAGGCAAATAATGAGTTAATTAACAGAGCTAGTAAAGGTAATTGTTTATAAGCCTTATTTATAGATTCTGCATTCTCTTTAGTTCATAAGTAGGTTTGTCTACCCTTAGTTATCACTTCACCATCAACATTAACAGCGACATCATTAGCTGTTAAGTCTAACTATACCCTCTTCCTTTTGCACAGGCAATAACCCAATAATCTGGCCAAATAAGCAGCTGTTTTCTGCTCTCCTCCCACTCTGATGGGAAGTTGTATTAATTATAGGTTATGATGTAAGTGATAACAGGCCAGCTAGCGCTCACCCATTAATAATTCCCAACTCAAAAAATAATAATTCCCAACTCTACCTCAGGTCACTTAGGAAGATCTCAATCTTCTATGATCTAATAATGTGTATTACACCAAAGTAAAGATTAGAATCCTGATTTCTTACTAAGAAGGGAGCCGTCCCAGAAATATTTTCATTGAATTGAAATATTTTAAAACATGACTTTTTGGTACTGGGGATTGAATCCAGGGCTTGTGTATGCTAGACAAGTACTCTTGTGTTGAGTACATCCTCAGTCCTTCTCATTTTATTTTGAGAAAAGGTCTAAATTGCTCGAGCTGGTCTAAACTTGTGACACTCCTGCCTCTGCCTCACAGTAGCTGAGATTACAGGCCCACGCCACCATGTCCAACAAAAACATGATTTTTTATTCTTTGATCTAATTTTCCTATAGAGATAAAATATATAGTCATTTTTAGTCATTGTGACAAAACATCTGAGAGAATCTCTGAGGAAAGTTTGGCTCAGTTTCAAGAGCTTCAGTCCATGGTCACCTGGTGTGGACTTGGGGTGAGGTGGAATATCATGGCAGGAGCACCTGGAAGAGGGAGCTTGCTCATCTAAGGGAGGTCAGAAAGCAAAGGGAAAGAGGGAAAGGGGCCAGGGTCCCATAGCCCCCTCAGGCCCATTCCCCCAGTGACTTCACTTCCTCCTCTAGGCCCCACCTCCTACAGCTTCCACCAGCCAAAAGGCTGGGCACCACGCCTTTAGTACATGGCCTTGGGGGACACGAAAGATCCAACCCAAGGCTCCAGCCATGTTAACCATTTTCAGTGCACACTTTAGGGTCACTAAGTTCACTCTCAGTGTTCAAAGATCACTGCCATCCATCCCTGGAACTTTTTCATCTTCCCAAAATGAAGCTCCTTATCCATTAAACAGTAATTTTCTGCCCTGATCCCCAATATTTCGGTTGAATTTTATAAGTTTGAATATCTCATAAAATATTTTAACACTGATTCATACCTTGTTGAAGTAAACAAATGTGTAAATAAAATAGTGCCTTGTTAAACTCTTTTCTCCTGTGGAATTCAAATGAAACATTTCCACAGGGAAACATGATATAATAATCAGATATTTCTGCTCCAGTCCTCATTAAGATCTAAACCAATGGAAAGTCCATGTGTGAAAGAGGCGGGGAAACATGGCATGGGACTCATTAATTGCAAGCTGGAGTGAGTTCCTAGGAGAACTTACTAATTTAGAACTCCAATCCTGTGTTTTCTGGCAGAAGTAGTGGCTTCCCTACATGCCCAGGTGGTTCATGGTCTCGCTGTGTTTTCTCCCCACCAAAATTAAAATTAAACCAAGATGTGCCTCCCCGAGAAAGCTTCACCTGCTAAGTTCTGACACAACTAATAAAACAAGCCTTTCTTTTTCTATAAAAATTCCACTCCATGGTTTGGTAACTAAAACAGACCCACAGCACTACTCCTAACTTGGAAATCTCATTAGAAGTCAAGTAAGAGTGTATGTTCAGCTCTGAGTCTCAATGTTCACAAACATACTTCTGGGCTGGAGGTATGACTTGGTGCTAGAGTGCTTGTCTAGTGTGCAGGAGGACCTGGGCTCAATCCCCAGCAACTCCCACAACATCACCCATATTTGCTAAGAAGGAATTAGCCAGAGGCTGGGAATATTGAGCCCAAACTTCCTGTGAAAACAATGACCTTATACCTTGTTGTAGTCAGGGTTTGCAAGGAAATAGATTTAATATAGGGTACATCATTTATCAGGTTATTTTATAATAGTCACTCAAGCCAGGGATTAAGCTCGGTGGTTTCGCTGCCTGCCTAGCAAGCTCAAGGACCAAAGTTCAATCCCTGGTACCAAAAAAAAAGAAAAAGTTTTAGGCTGGGGATTTAGCTCAGTGGTTCCGGCCCCTGCCTCACAAGCATAAGGTCCCGAGTTCGATCCCCAGTACCAAAAAAAAAAGTCACTCAAAAAGTCAAATGCAGAGTGCAGGAGATCTAACTGTGCACTGGAGACCCAAAGAATTCAGCTTGGATCCCTCGGCAATGTCCCACACAAGTCCAGTTTAAGGCCTAGAGTCCAGCCAGAGCCTAGAGCCCACGGCAATACCTCATGCAAGTCTGTATTGAAGATCTGCACTCGGAAGGACCAAAGGCCAGTAATGGAGGCTAGAAAGCCTCCACCAGTGGGGTGAAGGGATCTACACTGGAGCCAGGAAGTGATACTCTTGGTGAAGATCAGAGCTCCCCTGGCGAGAACAGCAGCCATCCTGGTGACACCAAGAACCTGAGCTCCTCCTCCCATGAGAACAGCCAAGTTTGCATCAGGAAAACCATCTGCACAAGCTTCTACTAGAAAATCAATGTCCCACATCTTCCCCTCCAGTTCTTTTTATGCCGTTGGCAACAATCCTCAGGTGGGTCTTCCACGCCCAAACCATGCTGACTCAGTTCAGCTGGGCATTCCAAGTTGACCATTAGTTAATCTACCACGTGCCTTAAAGGAGGCTATACCTTCTGTCAAAAGCAATTCTACATAATATTGAGGAAAAAATCATTTCACAATTAAATTATGATCAGGCCTAGTCTTCTTGCCTATAGGCTGGTATGACATGTCAAAACATAACTCCATTTTTGCCGCTAGTCACAGCTGAGACCTCAATGGTCCCGTGATGCTGTGATACTCAAGGACAAGATTACATCAGCTGAGGACATCCTGGTTCCTTGAGAACTGAGTAGAAAGGTGTCACCTGGGGAGGGACAAATTCCTTATCAGCTTAACTCATCTCACCTACTGTTGTAAGAACATCTTTGCTCATCTTGCCATCCTAATAAACATAAGACCCTCATCAGCAAACTATCCTCATGGTCTTAGGATTAATGCCACCCTCCAAGTCATCTGATACTCCCTATGAACCAAATAAATAGTGGCAAGTTCGAGGTGCCTTCATCTTTGCTGCCCAGAGCAGCACTGATCAGACCCAAAACTCATCTTCTCTAAGAAGCTGTCTTTATTCATTAATTTGCCTTGTGCCGTCATGGCTCACAGGAGACCACGATTCACTGCAGGGGTTCTGGTAACGTCCCTTTCCCTGTTCCCTACAACCTTCTTTACAAAAGTATCTTCATGATTATTTGGAAGTCATTTCCTTTATTGTTAGCATCCTCTTAAAAGCTTGTAAAATCAAACAATGCTGTAAGTTAACTATATTTGGCTTCAGTAGGCATGACAAAGCCATAGTGGACTGTTCCTGTGTCCTCTGTACGTTTGTCCTGAGAGGGACCAGCTCCACATTGCAAGTACTCACAGCTCATTGCCAGGGGAAAGAGGGCAGCCAGTCAGATTTTAATTTTGGATTATTTTTAGCATAAGTATGTCTAAAATATTGCATAGGACACTTTTATATTAAAAAATTATTCATTGTTTACATGAAATTCAAATTTAGCTGAGAATATCACAATTGGATCTAAGTCTGGCAACCCTACTTATATGCAAGGAACATTCTTTGAATATTTCTAAAGGAAAGTTTCCTTAAATATATCTAATACAACTCCCCCTGACTGCCAAAAGTATGAAAAGAACACTGGATAAGCAATCCACTGGGAAACAACTATCCAGACTCTCCTTTGGGTACTTTTATTTATATTTTATAGTAAAAATCAGAAGCAAGAGAAAGTTGTGCAAAGGGTATCAGGAATTTAAAGAAAGGGTGTAAGAGAGTCAGGGAAACCAGTCTGGGTTCCACATGGCTACAGGGTTAGTAACTTGTGGCTCGGGTATTTCTCGGTGTGGTAGTCTAGGACTTCGCCTTCTCAGTGTGAGGAAGTGTTCCCGAACTAGACGAGTGTCTTCCCAGGAGTTACTCGGAGTTACTCACGTCCCTCAGCCTATTGTTCCTTGATGAAAATACTGACACATGCAAAGTACAGGAGGGAAGGTTCTTTCAAGCTGGCTCCAAGGTGGGGACAGCACGGTGGAAGGGATGGCAGAGGGAAGCACTCAGCTCAGGGCAGCCAAGAAGCCGGGAGCAGGGGAAGAGCCAGAGAGGAAGGGACAGGGACAAGATGGTCCCCAAGGTCACATGCCCACAGCCCACCCAGGAGAGTGCTTTACCCTCATGCTGATCTGGTTGACAATCACGATTAACCCTCATGTTACCTTTGAGGTATTTTTCTATCATTTTCTTTCCAGTACCACCAATCAAACTCAGGACTTTGCACTTGCGAGGCAGGGGCAGTGCCACTGAGCTAACTCCCCAGCCCGCTTTTTAAGATTGTTTTATGTTTTCATCCATTTTTTTCCTGACAGTACATACAGTTTTGGTATGGGAGGAGTATGGTCCAAGAATGTCATGGGAATTGACGTGGTGTTCTGGAGAGTGGGACCTGGGGACCTTCCTCTTCCACCCTCTGTCCCGCAGAGCCACATGGCACACATCCCTGAGATGTCAGTGCTGCCTGGCCCTCAGCTGGCCTGTCTTCCTGAGTCATCGCAGGGCACAGGGGAGGCACCTGCCCTCCTGTCTCCGTCCTGAGTACAGTCTTCGCTGCCTCGCTGCCAGACTGCTGTCACTGAGACAGAACGCCCAGACTGGTGCTGGCGGCCTCGCCTGTGGGTGCCTCTACCTGGGGAGGCCGTGAGGGTGGCTCTCCAGCTCTGAGAGCCTGCAGCGGCCCCTTGCAGTCCTGACCCCTCCGCTGACCCTGCTCCTGCTCCCACAGCACCACAGTGCTCCCTTTGCCCGCGCCATGTGCCCAGTTCCTAACTGCAAGCCCTCCGTTATTCTGACATTCCCCATCTGGACTCCATGGATTGGGGCATGAATGTAACATTCCTGAAATCATAAGCCGCAGTTTATTCATCTCTGACTTCAAGCCCTTAGTAGAAAACTGAGCCTATCCCGGGGCTCAGTAAAGGCTGGTGAGTAAGTAAGGAGCACATGTTTTACCTGCTCACTGACACCATAGATCAACCCTGACTCCTGAGTGCTTGGGACCCAGGCTCACCCGTCCTGTGAAAAATTCAGAGCTCTGCCTTAGTTTGCCCATCTGCCTGCCCAGATGCAGGGCCTGCAAAGTGAGCAGCAGCTCCCACGCCACCCCTCTGAGGGGCACTGGGCAGGCAGCCGGGGAGCAGCCAGGAGCAGCAGAGGTGTTGGACCAGCCACCACTACTAGTCCACAGCAGGTCAGGACCAGAGGAGAGAGTGTGTGAGACATGAATTAGACCACTACAGCCTGGCCCTCGCCCCGCACCCTGCCCTGTGGAGGCCCTCCTGACCCAGGACGCAGGAGACTTGGCATCGGGCTGCAGTCTGGTTCCTGGGACGCCGGACTGAGGAAACAGCACAGCCATTTCCAGTGCTGGAGTCTGCTCCTCCAGGAAGTCTGGCTATGACAGAAACAGGACACCTGAGGGCAGAGGACAGTTGCCAGGTCTGGGCAGTGACCAGGCTGCTGGGTCTGCTCAGTTCTCCGCTGATTTATCAGGGATCAAGTCAGTGGCTGAATCATCTGGAGGACGAAGACACCTCGGGTGGCCCAGCAGGACAGCGATGTCTGACACTTCTGCTTCCCGTAGCGTTTCCAGCCCAGCCCTTTTGTCTGAAGGACTAGAGTGGCCCGTGGGCTTCACTCTGGCTGCACAACATGCAGTCACTGGATGTCCTCCCACAGCCTGTGGGGTGTCCCACGCTCTGCTCAGCATTTCTGTGATCTTCCAGACCCCTCTGTCTCTCCCTCTGCTTCTCCGCCTAACTACCCATCTCCTCACCCTTCTGACAAAAACCTGCCTCTTTGACAGAAGGTTCCTTGCAACAACCCTCAAGCCACCCTGTCACTAGCACCAGCACCACCATCTCTCGGGACTTTCCTACCCACTGTCTTTGGAGATGTTCTTCTTTGCACTTGGAATGTCCTCTTTCTGCCCCTTCATCCACTGGCACACTCCTTCCTACTCAGCCCTCAAGACCTTTCCAAGCTTGGCTCTCGGAAGCCTTCTGATACCCTCTGAAGAGGTCGTGAGTCTTGTCCTTGGTGCTCTCACACACATGCACTTAGCTGCCTCTCCCCACAGAAGTAGACTCTGGGTGGAGAGGGTGGCAGGAAACACCCTACAGAAGATGACTGTGCTTTTGAGAGGCTGATGATGTTTGTGTTTGGTAAATGACAAAGGAATGGACAAGTGAATGAGAAGATGAAAAAAGCCATCACAGAGAGCAGAAGGAAGCGTCCCTTGCCTCTGCAGTGAGGAGAAGCGGGTGAGGACAGCTGGAATGGGCGGTCTCACTGCTGAGGCTCAGTTACCCACTGGGTGCTGCAGTCCAGGCCTCTGCACCCTTCCTCAGGGGGTATGAAGCTCCCTGTCTCTGTCTTCTGCTGTCCCCCTCTGTCTTCTCCTTCTCACCTCCTCATGTCCCTGCAGCTGCTCCAGTGCCACTGTGCATCCCACGATCCTACTGACGGTGCTGAGTGACACAGATGTGCTACTTAGGAAAAGCACCACCTCCGGCCAAATCCTAAAGAGACTGCTGGGACTGGGAGCGGCCAGGCTCAGCTTCAGAGGAGCCTCTCTTCTTGTCCTCTGCGGGGGTCCAAGCGCTGTGTTCAGCCGGTCCACTTCCTCCTTGTCCTCCTCCTCCTGCTGCCTGACTGCAGCAGGTTCGTGATGTTCACCCACCCTTGGTCCACATCAGGTCTTCCCCTTCCCCGAAGGCCTGGGGTGCAGTCCTCTGACCCGAGTGATTTGTGTCAGCCTGCCTCTAGAAAAATCAGTGCTGGCAAACAGCTCAGAGTCTCACAATACATAACCCTTCCGGGATGGGGCTCTCTGCTCCTGGGCTCCATGTGGGACAAACGCTGGGCTACGCCCATGTGCTGGTGGTGTTTTTTGTTTGGGTTTTTCTGGACCTCATCCATAGCACAGCGATACTTCAGCCCATTTCTGCCTTGGGTTTATGTGCACGCACACCATTTTCATACTGTGCCGGTGTGCTCAGGACGATTCTGTTGATAGTGTCTATGAAGCCTTATTAGAAACTGACTGCAGAGACTAAGTTAACCCAATCTGTTAGAGACAAGTATATTCTACACTCAGAGTCTTTAAACTGCATAGCGCACCCCAGCTGCATTCATTAGGGAACAAAATTTGTGAGTCTCTTCTTTAAATCCACACTAAGCCAACCAAAATATCTGCTCACCTTAGGCTATTTTCAAATTGATGGAGTCAAAGATTCAAGCTTCACTTATTTTAGCTAGCGAAGGAATGTCAACTAGTTTACAATTTTTTGCCTAAGGCTCTGTTTTTCCATTACCCAAAACATAATTGAGTTATCTTTTCTTTATGAACATTTCAAGAGCAGTTTATACTTCCTTCTCATGCCTGAATATTTTCTACATCATATTTTTTTAAAGGTGAAGAAAGAAACACAACCAGGATTAGAAAATCAAATGTCTGTTTAGTACGTTTGGTGTGAAAAAAATAGCCCAACAACCAGTAAATGTGCAAATGAATTGAATGCCACTTCTTGAAGAAGTACAAATGGCCAATAAGTATATGAAAAAGTGTTCAACATCTTCAGCTATCAGGAAAATACACATCCAAATCAAAACTACATCAAGATTCCTCTTCACCCCAGTCAGAGTGGCTGTCATCAAGAACACAGAAAACGGGCCCGGGGTGTAGCTCAGTGGTTCTGACACCTGCCTCGAAAGCACAAGGTCCCGAGTTCGATCCCCGGTACCAAAAAAAAAAAGGAAGACAGAAAACAAGGGATCCTGACATGGATGCCAGTGGGAAAGAGACCCTTCTACACTGCTGGGGGGATGTAAATTAGGACCGTTCCTGGGAAAATCAGTAGGGAGGGTCCACAGACAACTGGAAACAGAACTGCCACAAGACCCAGCCATCCCATTCCTTGGCATGTGCCCCAGGGAATGAAAGCCAGCATCCTATGGGGACAGTGGCATGCCCGCACTTTTTCTGGCATAATTCATGATAACCAGGACGCCACCAGCCCAGGCGCCCAACCACAGATGAATGCATAAAGGACATACGGTATGCGTACACACAACGGAATTCTAGCATACACAAGAGTAAAATTGTGTCATTTGCAGGAAAATGGATGAAACTAGAGACTATCCTATTACATGAAATGAGCCAGATTCAGAAAGACAAGTATTGCATGTTTTTCTGAATGTGTAGAACTCAAGAAAAATAACAAGAATGTGGAAAATGGAAGGGAGACTATTACTAGACAAGAGGAAGGGAAGAAGGGGTAGAAGGGAAGAGGAAGTCAGGGAGGATAATGGGGTGAACAGGAGGAAAATACTACATTGAAACCCAGTATCTTGTAAATTAATATGCACTGATGAAGAATGTTCATACCCTTTCACCCTCAAAAATAAACCCTGTGGTGTGACTGAGCATGAGTTTCAGAGAGCAAATATGTGATGACCTGCGTTGGTGAAGTATAATTGAGCTACAATTATTCTCATGTAGAACAAATCTTGAGATGTGAAGAACTTAATGGGGTCATTATAATTACTGAGGATTATAATTACTTTTGGATTATGATTGTCCATTAATTTGGTGATGACAGTTTAAGTGAGGGTTAGCTCTTTCTGGAGACATTTACATATATATATATATTGAAATACAGGGAATATGGTATTTTAAAAAGCACTTTCCAAGTCTTATTACATCTATCATAAATGCCCCAACCATTACTAAAGTTATTTTGAACCTAAAAATTCCTGAATAAAAGAGGAGGTGGAAATGGAGAGAAATAAGCAGAAATAAAGGTTGCAGTGTTTTAAGAAGCTATTTCTGATATTCAACACTTCTGGGCCTGCACATGGTCCTCCTCCGGGACACACGGAGGCACAGGCCCCAAGGAACCGACACGGCTGGGAGACACAGCCTGGAGCCAGGGATGGGGGCGCTCCATCCCCATCCGCCAACCGGAGTGTCGGAGGACAGGGCTCCTGCTGTCTCCGGGAGCACAGGAGGAGGACCCAGAGGCTGCTCTGGGCTTGGGACACTGGCGGGCTGCCCGTGATCTGATTAGAACAGGAGCAGGGCACCTGTCCGGAAGCGTCCCCAAAGCCGTTTGAGATGCTTTCTAAGGATAAAAATTGCTGATCCTAGACGAGCTTAGATGAGCTTAGGCGTGTTTGAGGGAGGCTGGGGAAATTACTCTGCGTGGTGACCCTGGTCTCTCTCTCAGGAGCCTCCTGCGCCCTCCTGCCTTCTCTGAGAACTGACTTGCTGGCTGCCCCTCCTTGGGGCCTGGCCTGAGCTGGTGGTGCTCCTCCTGCTCTTTACTCCAGGTCCCCCTGGGCTTTGGGAGCCCGAGTCACCGTGCCACTGCCTGCCTGCAGGCCCTGGCGGTGCTGAGCAGTCTGGAGCTCCCTCAGCAGAGGCTCTGACTTTCTCTGGGGGCGTCTTGGGGCTCCTTGTTAATTACCTTCAGAGGGCTTCGTTACCTGACCCCTCCCCAGGACACTGTGGTTGCTGATTAGCTGATCCACTCTTCCCAGGTCTCTCCGGCTCTGGTTGTTTCTCTCCCAGGGACCAGGGGCTCTCTGGCCTGTCCTCTGGCCCGCGATGGAGCAGTCTCCCAGAGCGCAGCTTCCTCGCTCCCCTAATGGTCTGTGAGCCCCAGCTAGAGGGTGGGCGGTGCCAGGGCTCCGTGCTTGTCGCTGATGTGTGGCATTCTAGTGAGAAGTGGAACATCCCACTCAGGCTCGTGTGAAAAGTGTCTTCCTACCAATTCCGAGGTTGCCAGGCTTGAGTTAGCCAAGTCTTCAGGGTTGTTTTTGTTACATTGCTACAGTTGAGGGCTCAGCTGAAAGATAGAAAAGAACATTCTAGAAGACATGGGGTTGAGAGCATTTGGAGCCAAGAGTGAGTGGGGGATTCCGAAGCCCTGCTCTGGGCTCCCCGAAGTTCTCCTTCTCCAGAGACTAAACTTCTGATGACAGCTCTTCAGTCCCCACTTTCCCGATGCTAGTCCCGAAGCGGTGGACTAAAGACAAACTTTGAGTTCCTCCACTTAACCCAGACTCAGTCTAGGTTAAAGTTTACATAAACTGGCTTTTGAAGACAGCTGGGGTTGTCAGCATATCCTGACTACCTCCTTTAAATCCATAATTTGCAAGAAAAGAACCCAAACTATATGCTCTCCATAAAATCTCAAGCAATAACTGTCTTTATCTTAGTAGAATTTCCCCCTTGTTCAAATTAAATATTTACTGAGCATCTGCTCCATGCAGATCTCAGTGATAAGTGACATAGGTCTTAGGTATGTGAGTGAAAGACCTTTCGGTCTATTGGGCACTTAAAACTGGGAAGAATAAGTAAATCAAAAATAGGAACAGTCGCCAGGGGTTTGGCTCAGTGGTTCCGCTGCCTGCCTTGCAAGCACAGGGTCCTGAGTTTGATCCCCGGTACCAAAAAAGAAAGAAAAATGAACAGTCACCAGGGTGGTGGCTCATGTCGGTAGTCCCAGTTACCCAGAGGCCGAGATGGGAAGATCAGTTGAGCCCAGGAGCTGGGGGTAATATAGAGGTCCCATCTCAAAATAATTAGTTAATTTTTGGACAGAAAAAAATGTGAACTACGAAAAATCCTAAATAAAGCCACAGACCATGGAGACTCTCGGAAAGACACAGACCAAGGCAAATCAAGTCGAGTTCTGGGCAGAAGTTGGCCCGCCCTGGCCTTGAGGGCTGGTGGGACTTTGACAGCAGAGAGGGGACCAAGCAGAGGCCGCACCAAGCTCAGAAGTCAGTTCAGCCCCTGCAGCCGGACCCAGCTGGGCGCCTTAGTGGTGGGGTGGTGCAGGCAGAGCGGCCTCCCTCCTGCAGGCCTAGAGGCCTGGCCAGCGATGCGGCTCCGAGAGGGGCTGCACTGCCTCTGCCCATTGGTTTGCTGTGGCTGCCCTAACCAGACCCCATGGGCTGAGTGGCTGAGATGGCAGAAATCTGTTTCTCACAGTTCTGAGGTTGAGGGCCCAAGATCAAGCGCTGGCTGCGGTGGTTCTCTGAGGCCTCTCCTCTTGCTTGCTGGTGGTGCCCATCTGTCTCTACATCCTTCATCACCTTGCTCTGGTGCATCCTCCTCTTCTTAGAAGGACACCAGGCTTCAGGAGCCCTACTTTCGTGGCCGCCTTTACCCTTACACAGCCCTGCGGAGGACCTGTCTCTGAACACGTCACATGCTAAGATACTGGTGGCTGGGCTCCCATGCAGGGACTGGGGGAGACACAATTCAGTCTTTAAGACCTACTTAATAACTGCCTGCTGTCAATCATAAAGGAAGAGACCTGGCCTCAGATTCCACGAGCCTTAGCCCAAAGCCCGGCACATCAGTACCATTTCTTGGAGTTCTGTGGACTTGCAGGTAGATTATAAGCTGTGTGGGGTAAAATCACACAGTGCACGCTGAGGAGTGGGTTAGCACACAGAGTGGGGTGGGCTCCACAGAGAGCACCCTGTGAGGGAACCACTGCGGGGCCTCAAGGAGCTCACTGGAGCTCAGAGGAACGGGAGCGGGAAGCCAGCTGGGAGTCTTCCTGTGGCCCTGGCCAGGGAACTGAAGATTTGTGTGTGGGTGGTGGCTTTGGGGAAGGACCGGAAGGGGAAGCCCCACTCCAAAGCTGGCCTGTGGCACGGGACTGGAGCAGGACAAAAGGACAGGGAGCAGGTAAAACTGAGGTTTGTGAGTGTGGTGACTTCATAGAATAAGGGAAGCTCCCATTCTAGCCGAGTGACCACGCTCAAGATGAGCCAGCGATGTGACAACAGGCGAGCCACCTGCACTTACAACAGAAGGTGGGAAATGTGGCCTGCTGTCCAAGTCAGAGCCCTCAGAGCAAGCTTGCAGGGTCCAGACGTCTTCTGCTTACCCGCTCTGGGGAGCCCAGGTCCATGCCAGCACCCATACACTGCTCACTAAATCCTTGTCACAGGAAGTAGGGGCTGAAGTGAGATCTGTATTGCAGGCTCCGCAGGGAAACACAGCTGTTGTTGAAATCTCAGCCTAAACAGGAGGAAGGAGAAGCAGGGAGGAAGGACAATCAGTCTCTCGCTGGACCTCGAGTCATCTCACTGCAGAGGATGTGATCCACAACAGGCAAGTCCTAACATCCAGTGAAAACTCGTGACCTCTGCAAACCAAGCACGAATTGGGGCGGGGCGGGGTGGGGGAGTTGAAAACCTTTTATCAAACAGCAGCCCCTAGTGACCAGTTCCCAGACAGCATTGGAGCTGCCAGTGAGCCCCTCAGTGAGGACTTTGCGGCACTGACTCTCAGGAAAGGGATGCTCTGGAGGGAGTAGCAGCAGTAACTACTGTCTGCATAGCACCATCCCCAAGAGCCAAGGCAGAGCTTTGAGGGCCACTGGTGTGGAGCTGAGCTGCTGTTGGGAGGTGGGGCCTGCTTGAAGCCCGGTCACAGGTGTGATGGGGAGGGTGCATCTCCCTCTCTGACTTGAGTGGCTCAACTGAGCTGAACTGGGAGCCCACACACAGCTCCCTCTTTGGGTTCTGAGTGTCTGGCATGCACCTCAGCAACAAGAAACTGACGAAGCCAAGCATTAGTGATTGCCACTCTGCATACCTTCTCTCACACGTAGCTGAGGGGGGACAGCATGGCCAGGGAGCAGCGTGCAGATCCCAGACGTGTTTCATCCCAACAGTTGGCCACACGTCATGGCTCCTTGCTTCCACCTTCTGTCACAGAGATGAGGTTCACTGGGCTGACAGGCTAGAGAAAGGGGGGTGTCTGTGTGGCTCCGACATGCCTGAGAAAAACAGCTCCAAGGAGAGCCAAATAGTACATGTGCACACACAGACACACGCGCGCGCACACACACACACACACACCACACTCCCCCCAACTAGGGAGCAGCCTCTCCAGGTGCAGTCCCTCTGCCAACTCCTGCCTGAATTCCCAGGGAGAGGGCAGCGCTGCCCTGCACCCTTCCTCACCCGCAGGCCTCCCTCACTGTCCCACAGCACGGTGAGCCCTCCAGCGTGTGCAGCCAGACATCCCTCGCAGGTCTGGTCTGTGGCTGCGTGGGCAGCTCACGGGCTAGTGTCTGCAGAGAGGACCCCAGACAGGCCTGGATGCTGCCGGCAGTCCTGGGCGGTTGCTCTCACCTGGCACAAGAAGGGAGTCTGTTTACTGGTGTGCAGTGGACTTGTGGGACTGCCCAGGCTCAAGCAGGACCCGGTACCAGGCCTAGAATGCTGGGCTTCATGCACCTCCAGCAGACAGGTCACTCTTGCCAGTGGCTTTTGGAGCCAGCTATTACCTGGGTGCTTCGGCACTGGTCAATTTATGGGCGATCTGTGCAGTACAGGCCACTGCAGTGTCCTTACTTACCCCCATGGCGTGGAGACTCCTTACTTAACCCGAACCCTGTGGGCCAAGGACTCCTTACTCTGAAGCAAGCCATGGACCAGGAGGTCTCTAACAGCAGAGATCTCCTCAAGCCCCTGCGGATTCAGTCTGCTGCGGGCCCACTTTCTGGCTCGAGGTTTGGAGCCTTCTCGCTGTCCTCACAGGGTAGCGGGTCCAGGAGCTCTACCGCACCTTTTATGAGGGCACCAGTTCCATTATGAGGACACCTGTGACCTGGTCACCTCCTAATACCGTCCCGGGGGGGTGGGGGTTTGCACATGGGAATTAGGGAGAGACGCGTCAACCAGACCTCAGCCCCTGTGCTATCCTCATTCCTGATTCTACTTACATGCAGGCAGAGAGGCCACGTGGCTTCCCTGCAGTTTTACAGCTAAGGGCACAGAGCTGAGCTTCCCGAGCCGCTGGCGTCTTTTTCAGCGCTGTCCCCCTGTCCCCTTCATCCGGGGCCATCCCACGTACCTTGGAATCTTCCTCTTTTGTCCCTCAGTAGCACTGTGCCTGCACCCTGGATAGCATCGCCGTACATACGTGGAATTTTCTGTTATTTTCGTCTCTGCTCAGATCCACTGTGATTCGCTATCTGGGCACCCCCAACACCAGCACTGCCTGGTGCACCACGGGACCCAGTGCATGCTGATGGGCTTAGGGACCTGGGGTTCATTTAGGGAGATTTGTGCCCCCAGAATTCCCTTCTTTGGAAAATGGCTAGGTGTTCACCCTGTGACCCAGCAGTGGACTCCTGCTTATTGCTTAAGTGCAGTTTGTCCAGGACCCACTTGGTCTACACCTGTCATCCTGCATAGCTGCTGCCGGCACGCGTAAGTCACACGGCCCCTCCAGCCCTGATTGCTTCTTTCACATCCTACTCTTTACCACTCCTGGGCCTGGAGTGGCCTCCACCCCACCCCTAGGAACTAAGGCTAGCCAGATCAGGGGACAGTGCCACCCAAGACCCCTGCCAGGCTCCCCATGACTTGTGGGCTTGACACCCACTCCTGAGCCTGGCACTTTGCTGTGCTCACTCATGTCCTGCAGCCCGGCGACTCCCACCCATGACACTCTGCTAGGCACTGCGTCCAGAGTCTCGTGTGCCTGACCCGGGTGTGCCCCTGCAGTGGCACCTGCACACACCAGCCGCGTGCATGGCAATGGTCTCTCTCTGAGAAGTCCCTTTGACCTCCCCACTCCACGCCGTGCACCCACAGGTGACCTCTTCCAAAGGCCCCTTCTTCTCAGTCACACAAAGTTGTGGAGGGTCTTGGAGAGAGAACCTAACTGTGAACACTCCATCGGTGAAACTCCGGCCTTTCGTCACCAGAGGCTCTGAAAGCTCTGTCCACTGTCCACATGCCCCAGAACCCCCTACGACGCACATGCAAGAGCTCCATCAAAACCATGGGTGGAACCAGGAATCTGAGTGAGGTCATGACTCTGTTATTTCAGCAACTTCCCCGGGATGGTTCTGAAGTAAATCAGATCTGAGGCTTCAGCCATGATGATCATTTCTTACTTGGTTCTCTATCTAAAGCACACTGGAGGTGGGGATTCCATCGGCTACGCTTCATCTGCACAGAGCACCTAGCAGGATGCCGGTGTCGGGAGGGCATATACTGCAGGGACTACTTTCTCAGCAAAGGAGACCACGTGACAGGCACACACCTTCTCATAGCACTGTCTGGTGCGGGCGGCCCAGTGCTAGGGACTGAGGAGCCCCAGATCCCAGCTCCACCAGGGGGTCCCTACAGTCTGGGGGCTGCAGGGGAGTACATGGCAAATGCCTGGAGTGTGCTGGCCCAGAAAGTAGCAGGAGGGGCTCTGGGAGCTGGAGGGGGAGCAGCTCACTCAGGTGTGGAGGACGGGGCTGCTTGGAAGCACTTCAGGGGGAGCCCAGGGCCAGAGGTCACACTTGTGGCATGGGCAGAAGAAACATATGCAATGGCCTGGAGGTCAAGGGAAGTTCAGGCCCAAGGGAACTCTTTTGGGGAGGATGGAGAGGTGAAGGGAGGGGAGGGACATTAGGTCAGAGAGGTAGAGAAGACACTGCGAGAAGGGCCTCATGTGCCATGGCAGGGGAGGAGACTGGACGTGGCCTTTGTCGAAGTCACTTTCCTCAACGCTGAGACAATCACATCACACAACTTGAGGAGGCGCTCTGTCTTCTGGCTCACAGCTTTCGGAAGTTGCAGTGTGAGCTGGGTGGCTGCAGGCAGAAGCTGTGCGATGGAAGGGTCTGGGAGCAGGCAATTAAAAAGGGAGGAAGTAGGAAGGGAGGTGCGGCCTATCGGGTCATGCCCCAGTGACCTGCCTCTTCCCTCACATCACATTTAGCTGTAGCACCCTGTGGTTCATTCACCTTTCAAAAGCCCCACCTACAAGCACATGAGACTTTGGGGGACATCTAGATAGAAACCACAAGAGTATTAGGTGCAAACGCCCCTCCAGCACAGCTGACCTTTCATGGAGGGATGGTTTGGAAAGAAAATTCAACACTGTGGGGTTCCCAGCTCATCCTTCAGGGTTAAAGGAAGGACGCAGCTCCCCAGGAGGACTTCCGGACTGGCGCCAGCCCTCCTGTATCCTGTCAGTCGTGGTCCTTCCACTGCCCAGGTGCAGGGGAGGTGGAGCGCTGATGAACAGTGCTAGCTATGCTGCCCGGCCCCTTGAAGGGTGAGGAAGACGTATGGCCAACGTAAGTGCATTGTTCAGTCCTGGAACTGAAAGCACTGAGGAATGCAGTCTTGGCACAGAATCAAGAATACCAGGTACTGGGAAAATTTAGATGAGGCTCTGTATCAGGAGACACTGCTGGATCCATGTTAAATATTATGATTACAGAGAAGAGTGTTCTCGTTCTTAGGAGATAGTATGAAGTGCTTAGGAACGAACCGTCAGTGTCTGCAGCTGACTCGATATCCAGACGCACACCTGGAAGTGACAGAATGTGAGCGAGTGGTGAGCTGAGATGGATGAAGGCTTTGCAGGTGTTTATTGGGCTTTTCTTCCAACTTTTCTGCAGGTTTGATCATTTTCAAAATAATAAATTGGAGGAAAAAAGGCTGCCAGTCACCTGGAACAATTCAGTTCTCGGACCCTGGGCTCCTCATCTGTTTCTCCGAGAGATGAGAGCAGAGCTTCGATCCTGTCCTCATGCTGGGCTCCTGCAGCACCCCAGAGCTCCCGGAACACATCAGATCTTGAAATCCGCAAAATCATAACAGACTAAGAAATTGCTCTGCACACTCTGAGAGACTGTGCTGCTTTCTCGTGTCAGAAAATGATTTATACAAACAACCAAGTCAGCACTATACTGGAAAATACCTCACACAGGAATTGTGTCATTCTTCACCTTCTACCTTTCTTGGGACTTTGGTTTTAAGCTACCAATTGAATTCTCATTTCAGGTACTCATGACGTTTTCTGCCTTCAATGATTCATAACACAATTCTATCATCTATCCCACTCCTCGCTCCAGAGTTTTATAAAATGTGTTTTCAGATGATTGCATGTGGGCTTATGAAATACAGCAAGGGCATCGTTTGAGGAGGGGGAGGGAATGTGTAGGGGGCCCTGCCCCCCCCCGCTGGAAATCTTGAGTGCCTTTTATGGACATATCCGGGCCTGCTACAAATCTACCCGGCAACAAGGAAGTAGCCCCAGTACCCTCCTCTTGCTCCTCCCCTCTAGCCCTAC